GACCGCTTTTCAGTGAAATCAAGATATGTTCATAACAATAATAGTTTGGAGGATAAGTTGAAGCATTTTTGGTTGCAAAATTCGCAGTCTAATAAATAGTAAAATTATCACCAATTTTGTTGACAACAGTATGCAAATTTTGGTCACGGATTTAAATGAAAAAGGGATGAACATATAGAAAAGCACACCAAGAATAAATTTCCAAAATTTCGGATCATAAAATGCTGGAATAAATGAAAAGAACAGAATTTCCGTTAATTTATGAGTTTTTGTTCCAAAATTAATCAAAATCTGCCAAACAAAAAGGTGATTGCTGTCATTTTCAGCAGAGACTCAAACCAAAACTGTTTCACCTAGCTAATAATGTGAAATACTATTATTTCATCTGCATCTGAATAAAATTATCTAGTCCACTGTATACTACTGTGTAAACGAATGGATATTGAAGATGTCGCCATCTACTTGTAAATAAGTCAATCACTTACAGGGAATGTGCACATTTGTGACTAAAAAATATTTAATGTATGTCATAAAGCCCAAAAATGGCGCGCTGGCTCCTATCTGACGCCCCTCTTAAGGGCTTTCAAATGCACGTCAAAACTAGTCTGGGAGTGTAAACAGACCCTAAAAACACTAGCGACTCATAACCAGGTAACGCTGATGTGGCTTCCTGGTCATTGAGGCATAGAAGGAAAGAAGAAGCAGGTGGCCTCGCAAAAGAAGGAGCTTCAACACCATACCATAGACCAGAGCCCTACTGTGGCTTAATGAAAAGCCACATCATGAAGAACTCAATAAATGGTAAAAAGACCAACTGTCATCATATTGAAGGCACACTCCGGGACACAGACAGTCAATAGTAGATTATACCACGAGTCAATAATGATAGCTATTATTCTCGAGGTATATTTACGAACTGAGCCGCGTTAGCGGCGAGGGAGTAACATTCCGAGGGAATAATAGCCATTATTGCGAGTAGTATACTCTACTTTATTTACGACAAATTAATTTATTTGAAATTTTCTTTCCAAATACGCTCTTTGTTCATCCATCTCAATACAAATACACAAGCACTACGCGTTTGACACTGACACTGAATTTGTTCTATACTGTTTCCATGGTACTACCTACTTATTTAATTTGAAAAATTTTGTGATTGGTGTGCAAGCGGGATTAATGACCATTAATCCCTGCGGGAATAATAGATGTCATTAAATTGCCAAAATCACAAATATAATACGCACATTATATGTCAGTCGTAAATAAAAAGCTTTATTACCCTTTCAGCAAAAAGAGCTAAACAGCTCCTAAACATGAACAGACCAGACATCAGATTGGTGGTAAGACTGCTCACAGGACACTATGCCTGGTAAAATACTATTTAAGGTTAATGGGCAGAGCAGAAGACGATCTCTGCAGATTCTGCTCAGACGCAATAGAGATCGCAGAGCACCCAATTCTACAAGAGGCTCGAATTCCTCGAGGGGGCAACACTGTCACCAGAAGAAGTGGGCCAATTGACACCCACGAAAATAGCTTTCTTCGGCAGATGTCTACGTTTCCTGGAGACAACCTAAGGTGTAGAGTCATGTACAAAATATCTGCAAAGGTAGCAGTGCTGAGCGGCTGAAAAGCCGAAACGACTCCCCCACAATCTATTAATCTACGTGATCGAACGTCAAAGCTCTATTTCTTCCGGAGAGGGCAGCATAATACAGGGAACCTTGAGTAAGGTTACTGTGGGGTGGTCGGCTGTTCTATCAGAAGATGTGTTACAAGTTGGCACAATATTAGATAATGATTTTTTTTTAAAAAAATCGCTAGATATGTATGTTTTATGAAAAAAAGTTAGGCAGTGTCTTCTCGTTTTGCCGGCCCCTCAAGATGCGAAGGGGGGCGCGCGCCCCTGTTCGCCCCCCTAGATCTGGCCCTGCTCAGCAAATGAAAAATTTGTTAACAATTTTACCTACTTGTGTGCCGTGCGGTAAACTGTACTTTTCCTCACACATTTGTGTGCGGTAAGTAGTTCCTACATTACCCCATAGTATGTGGAATATACTAAATGGACAATACAATTTAAAAAGCAAAAATAATTCAGAAGATAGTAGTTTTTTTATGGACAGAAAAATCTTCTACTTTTTTTTAAACACCAATTCGATTTACGTTGGAAATTTGGATATGTTTGATAATTGTGTTTGGGAATTCTTTATATTCTCTAAAGTTATAGGATAGGCTAGGCCCCAATACCAGTAACAGAGCTTATGATAATAGTTAGCTAGATATGAATGATATGATATATTCAACTAAGTATACAAACAACTAAATTACATGCTAAATTTTAGTAGGTACTTTTTGGAAAAAAATGGAACAAAAACGCAAGACCGCAAGACTCGGGCATGTTCGGTCTTGGTCTTGCATAAGTCTTGCACTGCTCGGTCTTGGTCTTGGTATTAGTCTTGCTTTTTCTGCAAGACCAAGACCAGTCTCGCTCATCACTAATTGGTTTCAAGAAATGGCTTCACATCTACATTTAAACTATACCTACCCCAAGTATATCTGGTAGTTGGGCTTCAATTATTATTCCCTGAAGAACCTCTGTTTTTTTTTTTTTTTTTAAATAGCCCTACCATTTTATTATTTTCCTTATTTTCTCTTGTGAAATTATTTTGAGCATCTGGAATATGAAATATATTTGACAATATCGAATTTTAAAAAATGTTAATAGATTTTGCAGGTATGCAAAATAGTTAGGTACCGTTTATATATATTGCACTATTGAAACATACATTGAAAAATGTGTTAAATTTGTTCTTAAAACTGTCTGGAATTTGACATATAATGTCATTAGTATACTAGGGTCAACCTGCCAAATTTCCGACGATGGGATGCCAATAAAATCTGAAAGGCTAATATAGAACTGGGTTGTGGAAAAGTTTGTTGTGGGTTGTGTAACGGTGCAGGTCTGACGAGGCAGCACACTAAGGTCGTCACCAGTGTCGATGAGAAACTGGACTTGGAGGAATTGTCTGTGAAAAACAGGCGAGACGTGGGGTAAGGGGGACAGACAGTTTTTGCCGCGCCATTGCGCCCCCTGGTGATTTTTCTGAAATAGTAGATGGGAAGCACCTCTTGGCTTTGGGCCCAAATCTTCGATAGTAATAACTAATAGTATTGCCCCTGAGATGGCGAGCTGCTATAGTTACTTGGACTGGTCGAGACTGTTAAGTTCTCTCATCAAGGACTAGTTCTTTGGACAAAGCGTTTACCTGGTTACTTAGTTCAGCCCACTGTTTAAGATAGGCTTTTCGTCGCTGGATATAACTGAGAGAGTGGAACAACGTCAGCTACCTTTTTAGCCAGCTCCTATAGGTTCCCATCAAGAACAGATATGAACCCTCGGATTTGGGGCGGGAGACGGTAGAGCCATAGGTTTTTGAAGACGGGTGTCCTCAGGAAGGTGGTTGTGGCCATGGCTTACATACGGAGTCGATTTAAAGTCACCTAAGGTTATCCCGATAAGTCGGTGATTTTTTCATCTGGGCGAATGCTATATCTGTCAAGTCGAGTTTTTAGGTCTTCGCAGGCTCTCGGTAAATCTGGCTGGATTCCGCAAGATGTCCGCTACCTCTAGCGGAACCTCGCTGTTTAAGCTGGGCCACGGTGTGGTCGAACTTACAGTCCTCACTCGTCAGTGACTATCTTGGCTTGTCGGAACAATTCCCCAAGTCGGAGGAACCACAGCTTCGGCTCTGTACACCAAAATTCTGGCATTTTCATCCCTATTATGGTCTGGTCGTCGGCGGTAGTGTCGCTTGTTCCGAATTGGGCATAGCTTCGTTGTTGGCTTTGGCTATGGTGTATCGGTTTCGAGAAACGAGAAATAGAACACACACAAAGTCCAAGGTCGCACTCACGCGTTTATCAGGGTCACCAATGTGGCTTATTGTGGCGAGCAAATAAAGCACAGAGTTTAGTTTAGAAAAATCTACTACACAAATAAATTAAATTATCCAAAAATGAACGTTGGAGAAAAATATATCGCACGAGACGAGGCGTCGAGGAGCAGAGAAAGAAAGAGTCAAACGGAACTGAATGGAACGGTCGTTCTCGGCTGCTGGGTGGTCTCGCGAGCGTAGCCGCTTTTCTCGTCTTGTTATGAACCGAATTGGAGCGGATGGTTGTTGCTACACCTTGTGAATCTCCTACATCACAATAACTATCAGTGTCCTACCCATGCATGAAGCCTTTTTGCTTCTTTGTAAAAGAGCTCTGTACCAAACGAGCATGGGTTTCTGCTAATAAAGCATTGATTGATTCTCCAGATGTACAGTCGTGAGCATTAAAAGTGGGACACCCGACTGACAGGTCTTGTAATTTTTCGCTATTTTGGGTAGATCAGTCTTTTCTGTACAACGGATTTTTGGTCTACTATCGCAATTCCTGTCATTTCCGTAGGTATAGCTGTTGAGCTCGTTTTACAACAGGAAAAAACGGGTGTCCCACTTTTTATGCTCACGACTGTATATGATTTCAAATGGTTCAAGACGCCCAAGGCCCATGCACGCCCAAAATGGATATCATTTACAAGCTAGTAAAGCTTGTGAAGAACTAACCAAATGGTGCAAGAAGAGTTGTCAAAGGTAAAAAAAGCTTCCGTGTACTTTATCTTGCAAATGTTTATGTTTAAAAATCCTCGAATAAATAATAAATTGACTATTTTTTACAATTTCAATTAAAAATTAGATTCTTGAGTAATTCTTATTTTTCTATTTATTATTCGATGCAGACTTTTTCATATAATGGACTTAAAATGTTCTATTCTTTAAACAAAAACTATCAGGGGCATCCATAGGGGGGGATAAGTCAGGCTTTTGCCCCCCTGAAAAATGTTCTATGGACGCCCTTGAAAACTATTGATCATTTGTCAAAACGTCCATACAGTCGTAGAAAAAAATAGTGTCGTTGAAGGATGATTTGAAATTTTCTGAATACCTACTAACCCAATTAAAATATACTCTGCATAAGACGTGTTTTTCGGCGCACCAAGATGTGCAATATCTTCTTTAAAAAAGGTCTCAATCCATCTAACAGAGCACTTTTGTTCGTTCGTAAACGAAGCTTCAATAAGATTAGCAGCCGCACTTTTTTCCATTTGAAATGCAAAAAATGAATTTTGGACGCGTTTTATGCCTTCCTGACCTGTAAAATAGTTTGGGTCTTTACCTTTCGAATGAACTCTACTTATTACAAGTTGACGCAGGAACTCATCAGAACGTTTTGCAGGGTTCTAGAAAAACCAGGATAGAATTTAAGTCATGACTATTTTGATAAAATGTTACATTAACAAAAAACCGATTGTAAGGTGTATTTTCTAAACCCATTTCAAAATTTGCATAGTAAACGTCTCGCAAATTGTATAAGTTATCTGCAGTGGATTGAAGCAAAATAACAATTTTAGCGCAAAATGCATTATAAATAAAACTGAATCCTAAAAGTAGACTAAAAGTGGCGATTTTTCCTGCCAAGCTTCTTGGTTCATAATAGTAGTCCATTTGGCATACCACACCTATCTAAATATTAAAAGAAAAACACAGCGATAAGTATTTCATGACTCAAAAAATACTTACCTGCATAAGTACAACATCCATAAACTCGGCTTTATTTTCAATATAAATTTCCTTATAATCAGCATAAGCCTGTTTGCTACTCTCCCATTTCATTATAATCCATATGACCAAGCAACATATACACTGTACAACCGCGCAACTTATCCATACCTTGCCGTCGAAAGGTAAAGCAAATAAATTTGTTGAATATGCCAATGAAGGAGCTCTAAATACAAAACTCACTGACATTCCCCTGATCGAACATATAAGATATTTAAAATATTCAAATCTTTCGTTCGGTGTGTACGATAAGGTACCAGCCACGTCGGCCCTACCATAAACTAAGTCACCCAACATTCCTTTGTGGTATTTTTTGACTGGATGATACTCAAGGCCCCAATCTTTACTCACCAAAATATGATGTGTCATATTCCAAATATCAACCAAACGGTCAAATAGTAAAAAATTGATTTTTGAGAGTTTGTCATTATGTTTGTTTCTGTAAGTATAAAAATGTTTGTTAAATGATTATAAGACTGCTCATGAAATAAGTCATAGACAACACTTAAGTAGGTATAACCAAGAATAATAATCATTGTTTGAAAGGGCGCGTTTTAGTTGTAGTTTTGTGACAAGACAACGTCACAATATAAAATTAGTAGTAGGTAATTGTTGATAAAGTAAAATCCAAAATGTACCGTTGGTTTTAAATGCAATAAATCAAACACCTGATTGAACCCCACTCCCCACTGTGTAGGTCCGAACATTTTCAAAATACTGTCAGGGATTCCCTGTTCACTGAAACTCACTTTACAAACAAAAAGTAACAACTTTTATAAAACAAATTGACTTTATATAAATTAACTTATCACTTATCGAAGTTGAAACAATCTCAAATTGCCACCACGGTGTTTGTAGGCGACGTAGGTTCAAAAAGTGAGCAAATACTGGATACTGGCGCAATTTGGGCTATCATGGCCTCCTATGGTAGATATACAGGGTGTCCCAGGAAAAACAGTCCACCCCGATTTTTTCGATTTGAAATGCAAATCTGGTAAAACGCTCGGACACGCCGTTTTTTGATTTGAGGGGGAAATATTTGTCATTGTGTTTTTTTCATCCTCGTAGCTTCAACCCCCTAGCTAGGGGGAGAACAACCCCCCAAAATTGAATAGGAGATAGGGGTCATACCTCTTTTCAAAGGTCTCATGGCCCTAGAATTTCGTCTTATTATTTTCATCCGTAAGGAAATGACAGCTTATCAAAATCTCGACACTTACCTCCCTTAATAAAAATACTTACAATTTACAATTCTCGTGTACACCTCATTATTAATAATAATAAAAAGCTTCAATTTCAAGTATTTTTATTAAGGGAGGAATTGTCCGTCGGTTTTAATCTGTCACTTTCCGTATGAGGAGCGAGGGGGTGAAGCATATGGCAAAAACAGGTGTGACGTCAGGTGACCATTGGCGTACTAATGTAGGATGCCACCAGGTCACATTCCCTTGGAGTATCAGATTAAAATCGACGGACTTTAAGTATCGCTTTTCTATCTATCTATTCAGCCTTCTTCAGTCCATCTTTGGACATAGGCCTCCCCCAGTCTTCTCCATTCTTCTCTGTCTGTTGCCATGTTCATCCACCTGGTTCCAGCGTGCTTCTTCAGGTCATCAGCATACCTCATCTGGGGTCTTCCTCTACTTCTCTTATTCTCCCAAGGTCTCCAGCTTAAGATACATTTATTCCATCGGTCGTCTTTTTGTCTGATATTGTGACCTGCGAATTTCCATTTTAATTTTGCTACCTCCTCTCTAACGTCTCTTACTCTCGTTTCATTTCTTATCCACTCGTTCCTCTTTTTATCTATCAGTTTCACATGTAACATTTGTCTTTCCATTGATCTTTGTGCTTTTGTTATTTTATCTATGTTTGACTTTGTAAGTGTCCATTTTTGGGATCCATAGGTGAGAACAGGAAGTATACATTGATTATAAACTTTGGATTTGAGGTATTGTGGATATTTTCTATTTTTCAAGATGTAGCTTAATTTACCGAATGCTGCCCAAGCTAATCTAACTCGTCTCTTGATTTCTGCTGTTTGGTTTTCTTTGCTGAGTTTAATAATCTGTCCCAGATATAAAGTGTGCGCCATAAAGTTGGGTACATATGGAAAAATTCTTAATTATTCTTTTTTTCAAAAAACTTTTTTTGGAGTTCGTTAGGGCATGTTCGATAACTAAAAAATCGATTATGACACATTTCATGCGATTATCGGTTTAGCGGGAATTTTGAAAAAAGTTGATGCTGATGTCGAAATACGGGTAAATTTGGCAAGATATCAAAAAGTTTTATAAGAAAAAGTTGTTCAGAATCCAAAAAGAACTCCACATGCCGATTTTGAAGCAAATCAGAGAGAAAAAAATTAAACTACTTAATTAACCCATATCATTAAATAGAAAATCGAAAATATTAATTTTATCTCAAAAATAGCCTTATTCAACTAAACTACATAAGTTTGATATCAAACGAATCGATTATTTTGCGAAATACACACTTGAAGGTCATAAATTAGAAAAACCCGTCCGGTCGTGTCGCTATAACTGCACCCATGTCCCTTTTTGCACATTTCTTGGTCATCAGAAAAATAACATGACATGTGTCATAATCGATTTTTTGGTTATCGAATATGCCCTAACGATTCCCATAAAAAGTTTTTTGGAAAAAGGAATAATTAAGAATTTTCCCATATGTACCCAACTTTATGGCGCACACACACTGTATATATTCGTCGACTTGTTCTATTTATTCCTGTCCTATTCTGATTATGATGTCATCGTCTGTGTTGGTTATTGTTTTAGTTTTAGCGTAGTTCATATTGAGACCTATGTTTTTAGCTGCTGTGTCAAGTTCTTCCAGCATTTCTGTCAGCTCATCTTTCTTATCAGTTATAAGGGCGATATCATCCGCGTATCTTAAGTTGCTCAAGTGTTGTCCGCATATTTTAATACCTTTTTCCTCCCAGTCTAGTTTTTTAAAAACATCTTCCCGAGCCTGGTTGAAAAGTTTGGGTGATATTGTGTCGCCCTGTCTGACGCCTCTTTCTATGGGTATTGGTTTTGTTCCCTCATGGACTTTAATAGTTGTTGTTGCTTCGCTATATATGTTGGTTATTAGGTCTGTGTATCTGTAGTCTATTCTGCTATTAATTAATGAGCTCTTTACTACCCAATGTTCAACACTATCAAAAGCCTTTTCGAAGTCGATAAATGCAATATATAGTGGGATGTGATATTCGTTGGCTCGTTCTATTAGGATTTTCATGGTTAATAGGTGGTCACTTATACTGAAACCCTTTCTGAAGCCGGCCTGTTCTTTTGATTGGTAACCATCGAATTTTATTGTTAGCCTGGTGGTGAGAATTTTTGTGAAGAGCTTATAAATTATATTAAGGAGTGTTATAGGTCGATAGTTTTTCAAGTCTGTTCTATCACATTTCTTATGAAGGATGATTGTAATGGATTCATTCCAGTTGTTTGGGATTTTCTTTTCTTTCAGTATTTTATTTAGGAGGGTATGGAGAGTATTGATGACCATTTTTCCACCGTATTTTAGCATTTCTGCCGTGACACCGTCTTTTCCAGGTGCTTTGCTGTTTTTCATTTCTTTCAGAGCCCTCTTTATTTCCGATTTGCATATTTCGGGTTGTAATTCTGAATTTACATTCTTTATTTTAGTTTGTAGTTGTTTTACGGTTTCTTGCAGTGGTTCCCTTTTTGTTTGATATAGTTCTGTATAAAACAGTTGTGTGATATTTATGATATCCTCCTTAATATTAGTTTCTATGCCGTTCTTGTCTTTTATTTTATTTATTTCGTATCTTCCTAGTGTTAGTCTTAGGCATTTCATATTCCTGTTATTCTCTATGACTCTTTCTATTTCTATTTCTTGGTTCTTTCTTTTGTTTTCTTTTATCATTTTCCTGATGGTCTTATTGATTTCTGTGTATTCTATCGATTTCCTTTTCCCTTCTTCGTTCAGTTTCCGCCTTCTTTCCATGAGTTTCTTTGCCTCTTCTGATATGCAATCTACCTTCTTTTTATCTTTTTGTGCGATTTCGTTTCCTACCCTAACCATGGTTTCCGCTAATGTATCGTATATTTTATCTATATTTTCATTATCGCTCTTCAAGTTCTGGGTCAGTTGTTCCTTCAGTCTCTGTTTGTATATGGTTTTATTTTGTGCAAGTTTGGTCATGTCTAGTTGTCCCTTGTTTCCATTAGTTTTTCTTTTCATTTGAAAGTTGTCATCGAGACATATTTTTGCTCTGACCACTCAAGTAGCATTTTTCCGACTTACGACTAAATTTTCACTAGTTCCGACGTTGTAATTGGTAGAAATTTAGCTCACTCATTAACTTCTCAGTCGAAGTAAATACCCGACCTCGAGCCGACGTTAAATTAACCTCAGACATTTATGATAGCTGTAGGCAAAGTAGATCAGACGTTTCCGAGTGTATAGTTTTTTATGGTAAAGCTGGCGACGTTGAGCAAACGTTAACTTTTGACGGGCGTTTTTTTAGCAATGCATTCAACCAATATCAACCACGGTTAGACGTCTTTATTCGTATACTTTAAATCTAGCTAAAAAAATATAACCAAAGTTGTTAGCTAAATTGTTGTTGGGTATAACGTTGGCATTAATGTAATAACAATCTCGATCAATAATTGAAGAGTATAATTTGTAAATTCGTGCCAAAATTTTGATTTGGAGAAAAACGAGAAAAATACTACGAACATGCTTACCTATATAAAGCTTTTACCTACATTCTGCACCATCTTTAAATCAATATCAGAAGTAATCAGAACCAAATACATGTATTGTTGCCACATAGACCCTTTTTGATTGTATTGGGTTGAGACTTGGAACCATTTCCTAACATTATCTCAAAGATTATGAAGATGGCACTTAGACCCTTTAGAAGTTATATTCTTCAATTATTAATCTCCAATTTTGTTGTTATAGTAATAGGTAATATATTTTTTTGTTTTGAAATGCCAGCCAAACAAGCCTATAGGCACACCGCTTATTTTTATAGAAAAAAAGCAAAACTTTTGATTGGGAAACTTGCTCACAATCAAAGATAATCCTACTCGGAGTAGGACTACCTTTGCCACAATGCATAATGATCCATCCAAAAATTAATACACACAGCACAGCACCAAAAATAAAATAGAATAAAATAATTTCATCTGTTTCCAACAGTAAATTCAAATCAAAATAAATAAACACATTAGGTTATGTTGTCGTCGTCTTTAGTAATATTCAAGGAACCAAAACTGAGGTCGGATCCTAACGTCTCAGCATGGTCCAAATTGGTGGTATCTCCGACTTTAAGGTTGTGCTTCGTAATTTTAGGTGGTGATTTC